AAGTTTCTTTAAGAAGTTTGAACATCAGAAATCATCAGGTCCTGTTTTTCATGTGAGACTCAAACAAGCAGCAACATCACAAAGTGATCACCTGCATCAGGTCGCCACATTTAAAGGTCAGGTTCAGGTGTCAGAGAAGCAGCATCGGTCACTGAGTGCACATCAGACATTAAAGACATCTGCTGCTGTCACACATTTATTGATCGATCAGCTTTTTCAAACACACACTGAACTCATATGTGTCGCTCTGCAGCCTGCAGGACTTCTCTCATCTTAATGTTCTGCCCCCTGCTGGTGTTGAGTCGTACTGCAGCTCCACTGTCTCAGTCACTCACTGATCAATCAATCAATGTCAGCTGATCAGTTGTGTCCATGATCTGTGTGACCTGCCGTCTCCATGGTGATGACCACCTCAACATGTGAACCAACAGAGATCACAGAGAGCGTGTTGTTGTTCTCACCTGTGTGATGTCACTCTGTGAGCCTGCTACACCTGAACAGGAGGATCATCCAGCAGGAGCATGTCAGCCTCAATCAGCACACACACACACCTGTTGGTGACGTCACATTGCAGGTGTGTTTGATCAGTGAGTGACAGGGGGGCATGTCTACCAGCTGAAAACACCAGACGGCCGCTGGGAGGCTCTGGAGGTGTCTGGTTGCTATGATACAGAATATGTGCAGGAGTAGACATGTCGTCACCAGGTGAAGCTGAAGCACAGAGGGAGAGAGGACGGAGCCGCCGGTGTGTGTGTTCATGACAGGAAACATCAGACATGTTCAGTGTGTTAACTGTTGTTGTTGTTGTTGTTGTTGTTGTTGTTGTTCAATGACTGATTAATGAAGGCAGATGTTTCCTTTTCTCTCCTGAACATTAAACACAGTCACACACAATCACGTGCTGAGACTGTCAGTGATGTCAGAGACAGACAGCAGGTGGCAACACAGCAGAAAGTAATTCATTGTCTGTCTCCGCTCACAGCAGGCAGAATCTGGCAGAGAGTTGGAGGGAGACAGTGTGATGAGCTTAGTTATTGTTCAGCTTAATGGTGGGTTGTTGCCTAAATTCATCTGGCTGTATCGAGATGTTTGAATGGTTTAATTTCACAGCAGTGACAAACAGTGCTGAGGCTCAGTGCAAACACTATTATCCTGCAGGACGCTCGATGTGCATACAACTGCCACAAGAGGGAAGAGCAGGGGCTCGACTCAGATGCAGTTGTTTGCCAGATCACACAGTTGATTGTTGAGTGATGCAATGGGCCAAATTTAAAATCTAAAATCTGAAATTATTAAAAGAAATATAAAAAACATGTTTTGCAAAAAGGACAGGTGACTGAGCTCCACCTGGGGTCCATCTGTGCACGTGCCTCCTGCTGCTGCTGCTGTTGTTACTAATCTCTTCCTGCTGCAGAACAACTCGAAGGGAAAACTCCTGGACTAAAATGTTGTCTCTGAGAGAGAAGCTGAGGTCATTTTCTACTGACTGACACTAAAGAGGAAGTAAATCACAGGCTAAGATGCACTACTGAACTACTGGGCGGCAGGAGCTCAGTCCATAGGGACTTGGGTTGGGAACCGGAGGGTCGCCTGCTCAAGTCCCCGTCCGGAACAAAATATGGAGCGTGGACTGGTAGCTGGAGAGGTGCCAGTTCACCTCCTGGGCACTACCGAGGTGCCCTTGAGCAAGGCACCGAACCCCCCAACCGCTCTGAGCGCCTGTCATGGGCAGCCCCACCCTGACATCTCTCCACTTAGTGCATGTATAGGTCCTGTTTGTGCATGTGTGTGTTCGGACCTGTGTGTAATTGACAACAGAGTGAAAAAAATGAATTTCCCCTCGGGGATTAATAAAGTATAAAAGAAAAAAGAACAAAAAGAAAAAAGCACTACGTCAGTACAACACCTCAAACTGACATTTTTTTCCCATCAACAACTAACTCGCGTGGTTGGGTTTAGGCAACAAAAGAACAAGGTTTGGCTTTACAATCATACGGGACTCCAGCACTGCTCTCTCGGGTGGAAGTCAGTGTTTGTCAGACTTAACAGTTCAAACATTTGATCTGAATGTCAAACACCTTTTGACACATTCAGGATCTTCTGTGTAAAGTTGGACTGTGTTTCAACCACAAAACAAACATCATGATCAAGAGATAAATCTCAGTGTGACACACAAGTTACAGCAAGAAACACACACAGAGCTTCACATACACATTTAACTATCATGTACATACAACTAAATGCACATCAACAAACAAACAAACAATGTATCTGTCAGCAAGTCAAAGTGTGTGTGTGAAGAACAGAAATGTTTGAGGAATAAAGACTGAATGTTGAAACTAAACTGTCAAACTGCTCTGTGTGTTTAACTGCTCAGTAAAGATGCTGCTGCTGTTGTTACTCATCTCTTCCTGCTTCATGAGTCTGTGTCTCACTTTGTCTTCAACCTGCACAACAACAAGCAGGGAAAACTACTGGAATACAGTGTCCTCACAGAGAGATGACTGAGGAAACTTCTCCGGCCTCTTTGTTCGGTGTAACTTCGCTCACAGCCAGCGAGACACTATCAAGCCTCTTGGTTAAATTGATTTTTAACAACTGTTTGGTCGGTCAGTCCACTTTGAGGTTACAATGAAATATATTCCTTGATTTGAAATTCAAAGCAGTCTCATCATGGAGTTACTGCTGCTGCACAGAGTGAAGGGATCAGTTTAAACTGAGTCACTGTGTGTTTGTGCCATATGAGCCTCAAAGAACCCAAAGCTTAAAACATTCCTATTTCACACTGCTCTGCCTATTATTTGTTTCTAATTTAATTTACTTGTACATCTAAATACGAGAGTTTAACATACTTTTTTATCTGATTATTTATATTTACATTGACTTAAAAGTGCACAAGCTTACTTTTTAAAGTTTGTATCTCTTGTATGGCCTGCTTGTACTTTGCAGCTTTAAACCATAGTTGTTTGTTTTGTTCTTTTACTTTTGCTTTTTTTTTATTACCTTATAAAGTCCAGTGATCTGTCCTGGCACGTTGGAAATTTCTCTGAGGAAGACATGACAAACATTTCCATGAAAAAAACAGGACAATGACAAGCTAAAAATAGATCTTAGTAATAAAAACTGAGATGAAATCTATGTTTGTGTACATGATGAAACTGTTTGTGATGGACTATCAGACATTGAAAGCTGAGGACAGCCATGCTTGTAACTATCTTCAGATGCAGCATGACTGACAGGCTGTAAACTCCAGTAAATAGTCTGCACCAGGATGTTTGGGTTGGTGCGAGTTGTGAGCTGTAATTCAGCAGTAAATAATCAGCCGTGTGTGTCTGACTGTGGATGGTGGAGCTGCTGAATGGATTTGTGGAGTTTGTTAGTTGCAGCGGTGGCTGTTAGCAGCTAGCTCCGCTCGCAGACTTCACAGCTTCACCCCGCAGGACTCCACTCAGTCCGGACTGGAGAAGGTTTGTGGGTTGATGGTGTTTGACAGGCAGGTAGGAGGCTCAGTTATCTGTGAGTGTAGCTGTGCTGTAAGTAAACAGTCTGAACTCAGATCAGTTTTCTCTGACAGAGATGAAAGTTTAGTTTGAATCACCAACTCTGTGAGAGGACACCAGTTTAAACCTCCAGACTAACATGTTGCACATGAAGAAACAAGTTATGTTTCTGCTTCTTAACAGTCACATGGATAAGTCAGAGTTTACAGTGAACTTGGGGACAAATCCTAGTTGGCTCACATTAGTTATTTGTTGAGAGCATAAATAGAGAGATGTTGAGCTTTTCAGATGATGATCAGTAAGTGTGTGCTCGTAAATCAGCCCTTAAACCTGTCACACACTGCTGGAGACATGACACACACATTATGTTATACAACCTGTCACCTTGAGTCTGATTTATGATCCATGAATTAACCTCACTGGGTTAGATTAAAGAGAAAAACATATTAAAAAACATCATGACTAAAATGTTTTGAATTTTTGTCGACTGAAACTATGTAGGATAAAAATGATTAAAATGTGTCTTGCCTTCTAATCTGAGTCATTATTTTATAGTGTTTTAAACTTTTATTTTAGAGCTAGGGATTGTTTGGCTTTATTGATACTTGTGTTTTTGTAGCAGCTGAGGTGGATTATGAGACTTTGGCCCCTGGGCATGGACACCTGATGTGATTACAGCCAAATGACAGCCAAATGACAGATTTATGTTAATATGTTATTAAAGTGAACTGTCTGACTAAATGAGCCCTGTTCAAGGCTTCACAGTGTAGGAGGACGTTAACTTTCTGTCCTTGAGTAACCTGTGATCTGAGCTCCACCCACTCAGACAAAAGCAACTCTACCAACCGGTTTCTGTCAGTTGAGAGCTCAGAACAAGCGCCAGAGAGAAGATGGCGCAGCAGATCCTCATCCTCTCAGCTCTCATGGCTCCATTCCTGCTCCTGTTGTTCCCTCTGTGTGCAGCAGCTTCTGGTAAATATCAGCTTTTATTGTGAAGAGATTCATGGAGATATTATTTCTGACCTGTGCTGTTACGACTGTTAATGGATTTAAAACACAGAGAAAAGGTTTAAAGTTCATTTCAGGTGTTTTGATGATGAGACTGGATTTTGTGAAGTATATGAATATATGAATAATGTAGCAGCTGTTTTTCATATAATAGTCCAAATTTAGGCTTTAAAGTATGTCAGCCTAACTATTTATTCCTCATGCGTCATGTCCAGTTTTATTTCCCAGCACGACTGTCTTCCTACAGTTTAGTCCTTCCCTGTTTCCAGAGTCTTCCTTTTCCCTGCTCTATGTTAGTCTGTAGTGTTCCCCTCCACACCCTTGTTGTCAGCCAATCCCCATTTCCCTCCTTTTGCCTGTGTCCTCCTCCTCCAGCTGTGTCTCATACTTGTGACTAGTTTGCTGTGTATATATACCTGTGTGTTTCCCTTTGTTCCTTGTCAGTTTGTCCGTGTTCATTTCCATGTTAATGGTGTTGTTCCCTGCTCTGTTTCTTCCTGGAGTTCATCCCTGTGTTCTTTGTGCTTCTACAGTTTGTTTCACTTTAATTTTGGAGCTCTTTTCTTTTGGACTTTGTGTTTTGTTGCCTGCCTGTTTGGAGGATTCTTCACCAGCATTAAACTCGCTTTTTGTGGAACCCTTAATCTGCCTACTGCTCTGTATTTAGGTCCTTTCTGAACTGCTACATGACAGCTTCTCTCTAAAGCAGGTTTATACTCCTGTCTCGAATCTCTGCCATATCCTGACGTGCACCTCCCTAGAACTGTACAGGTTCAGGTTCAGGTTACTTTATTTATACCTGTAGGTAGATATGTTTTGCAGCAAGATTGTGACATTCACTCAACAGACAAATGACAAAACAATGTAACATGAAACATAGTAAAAACAGATTAAGAAATAAAAACAATAATACACAAAATAAAATAAAAGTGCTCAAGTCTCCACCAATCAGGACACAAAGAGAATTAAATATTAATAAATAATAATCAAAAGGCACCAATGGGTCATAGATACAATAAATGAGTAAAGAAAGTGCTGTGTATGTGCAAAAGTTGCTACAGTGATAGCAGCAGGAACAAAGCTATTCCTGTACAGTGAAAAACCTCTGACTGGAGGGAAGAAGCTTTAAATCACTGTGCAAAAATGGAGGTATCTATCTGCTGCAACTGTTTGGTATACAGGGACGCTGGGTAAAGATGAGACTCATCAATCAGCCGACTTGACCACTTCACTATCTGGTTCAATGAAAGATGAAAGATGAAAGATTCAATGAAAGCACGATAAAACATGGTCATTATGGTTCGGTCAATGTGAAAGTGCGACAGTTTCCTCAGACGATACAAGCGCTGTTGACCCTTTTTACACAACTTATTAAATTTTAGGATTCATCAGTTGTAGATTTAGTGAGGTGAAGTCTGCACTGAAGACCTTCACAGCTGAATTCTTTTAGTTTGACAGGAGTAAAAATAATGAAGCTCAACTTTCTGCAGAACATTACAGATTTACAGTATTTGCAGTAGTACAGTATTCGCTCTGGGTGAGTGGCAAACTAGAACCCAAAAGCACGACACAGAACAATCAAATTAAAGTCACAGGAGATCTCAGCTTTGCTAACGCAGCGCAGGCAGGCATCCAAGAACCAGGATCAAGACCAGAATGATGGGCACCGTCATGTTAGCTGTTACCTCTGAGAGGAGCTTTAGACTCTGTCAGTCAGCTGACACAAAGAAAGGTTGACTGTTAACTGACTTCATGTTACACCTCTGTGGTGGGACGAGGCCTTCTGTTTACACTGTAGAGACCTTTAGAGATGGAATCACATTTTGACCCTGGATGGTTATTATTGTTTTTCAGACCAACATGTGACAGTGCACCCTGGAGATAACGTCACTCTGAGATGTGAGGCTGGTAATGTCTCCATCAGAGCTGTAGAGTGGACCAGACCTGACCTGGAGTCAGAGTGCATCCTCTTCTACAGAGATGGACGCTCAGATCCAACCCAACAGCATCCATCCTTTACAGGCAGGGTGGAGCTGGTGGACAGAGAGCTGAAGGACGGAGACGTGTCTTTAACTCTGAAGAATGTGACCAGCAGCGACTCTGGAAGATACGAGTGTCGAGTTGCAGCAGGTGGATCAAGACGTAGAAAGAGAGCCAACATTGATGGTGATCCAATCACAGTCATCTACCTGGAGGTTACAGGTGAGTGTGTGGAGCTCAGTGTGTGTGTCTGTGTATCAGGTTGGAGCTGCAGTTTATTCCTGAGAGTCAAACATCAGAAATACACAAGACAAATGAAGGCTGTTCAACTAATCACACATTTACTGACTCTGATTTATTTAATCTGCAGGTTCAGAGGATGGAAAATTCACTCCGCTATACATTGCATTGGGAGTTGTTGCAGTGCTTCTTGTAGCTGCTGTAGTATTTGTTGTCTGGAAATATAAAAGAAATACAGACCAAAGATCAGAACGGCCTGCTGCTGATGAAGCAGGAAACCATCAGCTCATGTTGTCACGTATCCGTTCAGAGGAGGACCTAAATGCAGACTAACAGGGAACTGGGAAAAACACGATGAACTCAGGCAAAAAAATCCAAATACAAGATGTCAGGCAGGACACAGAGCATGGCCCACATCAAGACCACAGGGATGAGCCCAGGAATAACACACAGACAAACTGACTAAGGACAAAGTGAAACACACAGGTATATATACACAGAAAACTAGTCACAAGCACGAGACACTGCTGGAGGAGGAGGAGGACACCGGCAAAAGGAGGAAAATGGGGATTGGTTTGACAGAAAACATTGAAAGACAGGAAGTAAAACCACACATGACACATGAGGAGAGAATACACAAAATAAAACAGGAGGAAAATTAAACATGAATAAATAACATGATATGGAGCACAGACAGAAAAGTCCATAGAATAACAGAATATAACCAAACCCAGGATCATGACAGCAGCCTAGGGGCAGGGCAAATTTGGAAGTTGGCCAGGAGGCCGACATGACAGGCAGGGCAGATCTGGGGGGCGGCTGGGAGGGCGATGTGACAGGTGGAGCAGATCTGGGGGACGGCCAGGAGGCTGAGCAGATGGTCTGTAATGTAGACGGGACCTCACTTGAACATAGCTCAGGACTTCAGGCTGCTGCGGCCCAGCAGGAACAGGAACTGGATCATGCTGCAGCTCAGCATGAACAAGGACTTGAGGATGCTGCAGCCCAGCATGGAGAGGAGCTTGGGAGTGCTGCAGCCCAGCATGGAGAGGAGCTTGGGAGTGCTGCAGCCCAGCATGGAGAGGAGCTTGGGAGTGCTGCAGCCCAACAGGGGTTGCAGGAGGCAGTTGCAGCTCAGAAAACGTGGGGCTGTTGCAACACAGCATGAACAGGAGTTTTGGAGTACTGCAGCTCAGAATGGGCGGTTGTTGGCCCGGCAGCCAACTGGACTCTGGGTGCAAAAGTTCTGCTCTTATTTTTTGTACATAATTTTATTATTCCTTTTGGTTGAATTCTGTTGTTTTATGTTAACTGTTTCTTTAAAGACACTTCACTCCAGTAAAAGTACTGTAAATATAGAGACATTTCACTGGAGTAAATAGTTAATCCCTCCATGAATCACTACCTTATCGTGGTGGAGGGTTTGTGTACCTGTTGATCCTGGGAGCTGTGCTGTCTGGAGCACTGAGCTCCTGGTAGGGTCTCCCATGGCAAACTGGTCCCAGTGGAGGGTCAGACTGAATGTGATTCAAATATTCATCCTTAACCAGGGATGGAAAGAGTACTAGAATATTTTACACGAGTAACAATAAAATTACTTGTGTGTAAATGTTGTCAGATTAAACCAGTCCTTCCAGAAAATCGCGATCTTGTGATCACAATAATTAACGCAAATTCAAAGAAAGTCCGCAAAATTTGTGGGGGCTTGCAATTTTTCAAAATTCCCACGTTTTTCGGCATATTCCGGCCAAACGGAAGTCGTTGCAGACACAACGTCATTTCAAACGTCATCAGACGCATCATCAAATGCGCTAATGACATTGCAGTATAGAGAAACGTTCTGTATTGACATAAGAATTTGCACTTAACGTTTAAATTCAGACAATATGTGTTGAATTTATTAAAATGTTATGTTTACAGAAGAAGTAGCTTACATGTTGTTTAACAGCCACATTGTCTGGTTTGAGAGTTACGATATTCACTCAGGATGTTTTGCAACATTATTGGAGTCCATGTTTTGAAACTAATTAAATAAAACTAAAGAAGAGATCTATAAAAAACATTTGCAGCTGTGGCTCCAGGTCAGGTCTGGTCCACTCTACAGCTCTGATGGAGACATCACCAGCCTCACATCTCAGAGTGACGTCATCTCCAGGGAGCACTGTCACATGTTGGTCTGAAAAACAATAATAACCATCCAGAGTCAAAAAATGTTTCCATCTGTAAAGTACAGAGAGTGTAAACAGGGGGTCTCTTCACACACACACACACACACACACACACAGCTGACGTAAACTTAACTCAAAAAATGAAAAAAAACAGAAAAAAGTAATCATTTTTTCCATGTGTGAGTGATGAATATATTATCAAATTTACAAAAAAACTTGTAAATCATTGTGCACAGCAGCGCAGTGTTTCTTCTAGGTGCCAGCTGGTGCAGGATAAATCACAGTCAAAAGTTCAAAAACTTCCAGCACACACTAGAATATCAGGATTTTATTCAAAAATGTTTATTCAAAAATGTTTAAAAACAAAAGGAGCGAACAACACGTTTTGCATGTTGCTTCATCAGATTCGCTCTTGATTGTCATCAGGTGTGTGCTTAAATAGTCAGGGCAAGTAACAACCAGACAATCAATCAATCAATCAATCAATCAATCAATCAATCAATGAGATACAAATACAAAATACATAACCTAGCTGTAATATTAAAGGAGAGTACATACAATATAAATACAAATAGA